GTGTTTTTTCCCTTCTTTAATTTAATTAACGTTGGGTTGTCACCGTCGTTCGCAATCGATTGGTAGTTGTGCCCGAAGATTCTTGTCAGTTATGGACCTATCATCCGAACATATGTCATCATGAAATAGACACAACCCTTTGTCAATCAGCATTCATATCCAAACCTTCACCATCAGACATTTCACATATAAAAATCATTTTAATTATAACGTAAAATGATTTGATTTAACGCCAATTTGATTTATATCTGCGGGGCAGTTTATCACCGTCATCATTTGCCATTTTGAAGAATCATCGACATATCTCGTTCTCAACCTTGCAGAAAATCTGCAATAACAAACCCATCATAAATAACGAACTATTAGCACAATAATGAGCGAGGATTCCATTGAGATGCTCTTAGTGAGTTCGGAATGTTCCGATCGTAGTCTTTGATCCTTCAGCAAGAGTTGCACGCCCTTCTGACTCTAGGACACTCACTAGCCGGATGACCACCCCAGAACAATGACGACTGTCTACTGGCCGGTGGCCTTGCTGGGATGATCGGACACTTGGACAGTGGTCAGCTGAATCGACAATAGCAGGGAGACATGTAATTAGGATAGTATCGGATTCACCTGTGACGATGGACAGTGACTGGTAGGGGTCGCGTCTCTGCCTGCAGTCCACAACCACGGGGATCAAAGACCCTCGATGGCGGAGGGGGACAGGGGCCACTATCAATAACACGCCTGTAATAAAAAGAAAATATGCACATGTCAAACACAAACAAATTATTCTGAACATCAAATTTGAGTGATGTTGTGTTGTAAGAAGACTCACGGTATATTAACAATGGCTTGATGGGACTGTTTCAATTTCGTTCAAACGTTAGGCACGCGCAAGATCGTATCTGTTTCAAAATGAATATTTCATGTGTCAATAATACTAATATGAATTGCAGTTTATCTGACTAGTGATGAAATGAAAATCTCCCCATATCCACCTTATGCATGTAGAAACAAGAAAGGCAGCAGAAAAAGTAATCCTAACTACAAATAGTTAGGACTGGAGTTAGCACGGAATGTTATACACTGCATGCAAACTAATAAGTAGGTACCTCTGGTCCATGTATACAAGAGGAGTGTTAAGCCATGGAAGAACAACACTTTTGAGAATTCGAACAGTCATGGCATATGTGCTTCTGGCAAGAGGCAGTGTACACACATATTTGACAGAGATTAATAATGAAAACAGAAATGATTACTGGATACTGATGTATTTGTAACGGGTATCATGCTTGTGTTTTGGACCTGAACTTGCAGTTTTTAGGAGACTGTCTTGAGCGTGATAACTTTTGATAAAATTTGTAATGTTTGGTAGAATTCAAGTTTCAAGTGTGTACCGCCCCCACACACACACACTCCACCCAGTTTACATGTATGGGTTCCGTTGTACAAACCGATCTTAGCGCTAATGTGATCGGAACTCCCATACCTTATCACAGACAGTCGTAGCGCTGAGGGTATTTTTGGACAGGTGCCAAGATCATTAAGGTAAAACATGTTTCGGTATTAAAACGAATTAATGATTCGTTACATTCTGTGTCAGTTCAATCTTAATTGTATATGTTAGACTGCAACCGAGTAACAACGATACAGTATGTTTAAGTTCAGCGATATCTCCAGCCTCCCGCCCACCCTTGTAGAAGAATAGGGCATGACGATTCATCAAGGCAATCCAAGGGACACCAATCGAAACTTCTTTATGGAAGCTAAATTTACATGAAGAAGGGTGTAAATTTTGTTCTGGGTGTTAAAAATAGTTGCGTCGACGCGGGGAGCCCTCGGCATCAAAGTGGCCGCTGGTCTGAATGTACCGCGGACACACCTGGACAAGAGTGACCACTTTATGGGGCGAGCGTTACGACCGTATTGACTCGAAGACGCATTGTGTTTGGTTTATAACACTTGCTGCAACCTATGGTGGTCCACGAATTTGATAGAAAATTATTAATCAACACCTCACGCGATTAAAAACCCTTTTTATTTCGGAGGATTACATCCCAAGTTAATGCGTTACACCCCGTTGCTCTCTGTTGGAAGGATTGGCGGTTGGGTGTGAAATAGTTGATACATTCTGTAAAGTTTGTGAGTCTTTTCATGCTTTACTGTACACAGGTATCGCCTTCAGTGTGATGAAGACAATAAAAATGCACGCATTTTGCTACATGCGCGAAAAACAGATGATGTTCATTGTTATTGAATTATAGTTCAGGGCAATGTGTAAAACATGAACCAATCATGACTAGTTATTTGCGTGAAACCTTCAAGGACAAGTGGTAATCATAATTATCATCATCATCATCATCATCATCATCATCACCATCTCCACCACCATCCATCTCCATCATTCCCCTTGTAGCTGCTACTACTCTACTTACACTACCTTACTACTACTACTACTACTACTACTACTACTACTACTACTACTACTACTACTACTACTACTACCACTACTACTACTACTACCACCACCACTACTACTGCTGCTGCTACTACTACTACTACTACTACTACTACTACTACGACTACTACTACGACTGCGACCACTTCTAATGCTATTACCATCATGTGGTGTCCACCAATCATGCCGTTCACCAATTTGTTACATGAACAAGGGATTTAATTAACATTTCCATTTACTGCAACATATATTCATATTGTATTATACATTTGATGTTTTGTCATTTACAATCACTCACCATCTGACGTGTCCATATCATTCATTACAACAATCTAGCTGATTTAAATAATTACTAATTCCATGGAAAATTGTACTTTGTATGCAAGTTATTTCTTTCAACGTTCAATATTTACGCTTTGTCAGCTGTCTCTATCAATGTATATGGGAAGGGTGTTTTAAGATGGACAACATTTTTCTCATCCATTTGGCCCTTTGATATTTAAATGTCAATAATATATATCTAAAACAATAAGATTATATCCAACATATTATGTCTTGTCTAACATACGTGTTACGTAGTTTTCATTTCCCTTTGGAATTTGAGGCAAAACTATGAAGCCTTCAAATGCAATACAGAAAGATATATCATTTTTTGGTGAATATTGTTGTTGCAAACATGCAAATCGTGCCACTATATTCATATATACGAAGCTGACTACAAGTTTTTGTTATTGTTGTTTAACGCTTCTGCCAGAAGTCTTTAAGTTTAAAATATGTTTCAAATTTTGATCTGACAATACAACGGACCACTCCGTTGGAGCAAGAAGGCATGCAATCATACAAATCCCTTAGCCTGAGCACGCGACCCCTTTACAAGCATAGTTAGTTGTCTTAAACCACTTTCTAACAGGGAATTCTCACTGGGGTGATTGTGAATGGTTTTTGCATAGCCTTGTACATAACATTGTACATAGCCTTGTACATAACATTGTACATAGCCTTGTATATAGGGTTGTACATACTCTTGTACATAACATTGTACAGAGCCTTGTACGTAACATTGTACATAGCCTTGTATATAGGGTTGTACATACTCTTGTACATAACATTGTACATAGCCTTGTACGTAACATTGTACATAGCCTTGTATATAGGGTTGTACATACTCTTGTACATAACATTGTACAGAGCCTTGTATGTAACATTGTACATAGCCTTGTACATAGGGTTGTACATACTCTTGTACATAATATTGTGCATATCGTTGTACATAACATTGTACATAAGCTTGTACACAGCGTTAAACGTAGTTGTACATAGTGTCGCATACAATGTTGTACATGGCATTGTACAAACACCCCTGTCAAGGCCATTCTCACTTGTACACGGTAATACGCCAATATTGTTTTCGAAACTTTCATTAAAATATACAGTAGATGTACACGTATCTACGTATTCGTGCAAATCAGTATTTTCACATGATTTTAATTATTGACAATATGCATTACACTACGAGTTCCTGGATCCCTAATGAGGTCTTGGAATGAAATCGTAACCCCCCAAGTGCCGTTTTATTTCTTCAAAGCGACACCTTACTTAGAAACCTGCATTTCAAGTGGTTTCTCTGGTGGCCCCGACAAACCCACTAATCTGTAAGCTGCGCTCCCTACCTGGCCCCAGCACGCGACTGCTGATCGCTGATTGGCTATGTGACTTGGCCAATCAGGTGTATCATGGCACGCGAGCCTGGAGTCCTCGTGACAGGGCGGATGGCCTCTAAATCATGTCGGAAGCCGTCCTATTGTATGTGTGTCATTGTTGTGATTCCGTGTGTGATTCCGCTACTGCCGGTCGCGTGCTGACCCCGCCCCGCACGCGAGCCACCATCAGCCAATCACAGCTCAGATACCAAAATAATCCGTTGAGGATGAAATCTCCGAACACCACCCCCGTGCACGTGGCTCGTACCACAAATAAAGCAAATTACAGTACTTAACATTTGTTTTCGTTTTTTTTTCATTACAACATAAAATCTAAAAAAATAAATCGTTAAACGAAAATTAATGTTCGGATATGTGTAAATAACAAAAAATGCAGATTGAATTACGAAGCATTTCAAATTATCACAGCTGGAAATAAGTTAACACAAATGTTATATATATTTCTAAAAGAATTAAGGGCATGTTAACATTTCATTTTCTCGTGTAGTTTAATGTAAGTAAATATTTTATGCATTTTAAAAACCCAGGTCCGGGTTATGCGCGGCAGCCCACCCATTAACGAGTTCCTCGGCCTTCGTCCCAGCCCGCCGCCGTGTCACGTGACAACTGTCAAAGTGTCCGGTGTATTGTGTCTCGCGTCAGACGACAATAGCCACCCTGGGGAGACGGGTATAAATGGGGCAGGGTTCAAACTTTAGGCTCACACTCTCGCTGAGACCCACATAGCAAAGTTCACTCGCTCGCTCAGAGTTTCCCACACGGATACACAGTCCAGAGTTTGGTCTGCTACGTTTTTGTTTGACTGTTTTTTTGTTGTTGTGCCACTTCGAAACATGCTGCAAAACGACGTAGAAGTCAGCAAGGACAACGTCTTCGACATGGACGTGTCTGACAACACCGTGGTGAACACCGAGGACACAACATCCGAATGTCAGTCGCCGGAAAAGAAGAAACGTTCAAGAAAGTCGCGTGCAAAGTCACGTGATCCTCTGCATCAGAAAAAGATGCAGGTTTCCAGACGAGGACGTGCAAATGACAGGGAAAGGAACAGGATGCATAGTCTCAACGATGCCCTCGACGTCCTACGTACAACGTTGCCAACGTCTTCAGACGGAAAGCTGACCAAAATCGAGACTCTCCGAACAGCGTACAACTACATCTGGGCCTTGTCTCAAACGCTGAAGATCATTGACAGTGATGACAAGGTTTCCTCAACGAAACCCGAGATGGACACACTACCGTGCTCCTTCACCCCCAGCAACCCTGTCTCACCCTCCAACGACTTCTACATGTCCCCTCATCCTGAGTCCCCCGGCAGCGACATCTCAAGCCAGTACAGTCAGCAGGACTCCACCTTCGTCGACAGCGACTACAGCCAACAAGATTCCACCTTCGTCGACAGCATGAACCAGAGCTCTTTCTCCTACACAGACAATACTGAAGGCTACGGTTACCATGACTCCCAAGAGAAGAACTTTTACTACCAACAGAGTCAAAGCAAGCCTCAGCAGTATTCTCTCAACACCCCATACGAATACCCCAACGGACAGTGTCTCTACCCCTTCCCCCAACCCCAGGGAATGGGCAGCATGACCTCTCTAGTGCTATAGAAGGTATTCGTGAACATCAGTTTCTGTGATATGACTCGTTACGTTGTGATGGCGTTTCGAAAGAACATTCTTCCAAGAGGTATTCCGTGAATGGTTTCACCAGATTTCACAAAAGACTTTGATCTCAGGATTTCACCGATGTGCAATTACCATATATGGACGTGACTCAGACAGTATATTTTGTATTGTGTCTGTATTCGAGGGTGTCCTCAAAACCAGGTATCGTTCAACGTGGTATATATTCATGTTTCTCATATTTGTTGCTATTATGGATACACTCAATTTGAGTAATGTTGACTGTTTGTCTTTTTGGCATCATGATTACAATAAAATTTGTTGATCCTAACCTCCTCCTTATGTTTTCCTTGCTACACATTGTCCTATGTTCTATGGATCTAGTTTTGCAAAATCATTTCTACACGTCGAAATTAATGTTAGTGATGAAAGCTCAAATATATGTTATGTATGAAATGCGAAAAAACATCCACAAAATGTATTCTCATGACTGGAAAGAGTTTTGTAGCTCTTATTCAGGAAACACTTAAAGGGTTTTGTCCGGTCCAGACTCGATTATTTACACACCGCCGCCATATAACTAAAATATTGGTGATTGCGGCGTTCAACAACAAACAAAACGTAAAGGGTGTGTCGGTCCGTTTTATCGCATCGATACTTTATCTACACGATTATCAAGTAAAACACATATGGTTTCCAGAGCAAATTAATGCTTTTTGGTAGTTCTCATACACTTTGATGCATGAAATGAGTCACGGGTTACTTCGTAAGGTGTGGCCACTTGTATGTACATACAGAAACAAGTGTAACGTATCTTATCTAGTTATTACAGGTTGTGTTCAGCTACATAGTCCACACACATTCATCCTGGTCGAGGTGAAATGGGATTTAACTACGCTGGTGCTGTTCTATAATCGATGCTAGCAATTGAAGTGTTAGATGACTCGACCTGCTGAGACCCGGTTCGGTTTGTAACACAGCTACAATGTTTGTTGTTTGGAGATATTGCTGGAATATTAGTATGATTACCTTTCTTACAATCATAAACATCATACTTTCATAAAGTACTCAATTTGTCGTCACCCATTGATTTAATATTCCCCTCCGCCACTGCATGCGCCAACAAAACAGTTGATGTGCAGGAATAGATTATACACGGGGTAACACTTAAGAGACCTTGACTTTAGACTAGGAAGGAACAAGAAGTTTAAATTCCTAAATATTAAAAACAGATGATGCAATAGTCTCATGAAACTAGTCACCTGTGTAAAGTATTTCACCCGTCAGCTGCGCTAACGCATGGATGTGAATGACTTTTCAACTCAGTGAATGCCAGTAGTGATACACACATGATAATGGTATTTCATGCGTTTCGTCACCTTCACTACGGGTACTTTCCCCACATTGACACTGACATACATGCAATAATCTTGATGCCTCAGCCGTACATATCTTAAGATCGTCGCATGTCACAATTAAGGACAGTATAAATTATTCACGCACAAGGAACTACATGTATTATAATTCTTTTAACTCAAATTTAGTCTTTATATTCACAATTCAGGTCTGAGATCGTAAAGTGCCTTCCTAATCGTGTCTTTACATATCGGTTATTATGATTTGATATTTAAATCTTTAATCACGATTTGACTTTGTGCGTTAAGCCATGCAATCGTATAAAACGTAATTATTGAAACGGTAAAAATGTTCGAAGTGGGTGTATGTTGCAATGTTTTTCTCTGTGATCACATTTTTTCAAAAGATGTGATGAATTTTTCTTTCGAATTCGTGTAACATGACCACACTTTTTAAGCACAACTTTTTAACATCTTAATTATAACAACGAAAAAGTTTTTTAGGTGTTTCGTATCATTGCTTCATTCCGCGGCTTCAATTAGGCTTCACAAATACCTTTGTGACGAAGTTGATTTGACCTACGTAAATACTTCGAGATATCGGAGGTTCTTAAGAAACGCAACATGATGACTGAAAGGGGATACACAGGAACCGCAAGTTCGACACAACGATGACTGACTGTATATACGGGTCGAAGTATAAACAGTAATCTGTCTCACAGCCCCTGAACCGCATTATTGTATCTTCGGCCCAGCCTTTTGGGAGTGCCGAAGTCCTAAACGAAGCCAATGTTTTCATCTCCAATCCTGTTGGGGCTCCTTTTCAATTAAAAATGAACTATTTTTTTCAATCGAAATTATATATATTCAGAGACTAAACGTTAGCCTAGTATATGACTGAAAAATGCCGATGCGACCTAAAACTTTAATTCACTTAACTAGGCTAGTATAAATAATAGGAGTAACAGTTTGTTTTCAAACTTTCCCAGAAACTATTTCAAAACGTACAATCTATGCGTCGATCTAAATCTACAACACCATCAAATAGCGATTGTTTATGGATACAAAGGAGGCGAATTCGATAATTGTTACATGCAATAATAACATTTTTTATCATCATCGATCTCACGTGCCACGGGATAGTTATTGAGATTTATAAAGTATTAATACGATTACGTGATTTATTTACCCCAATCAGTTCAATCTTGTGTTACCTGCATGTAACGTGCATTGTACGAAAAACACAGAACGAAGCCGACGTGTGTCTCGTGAACAGAGGCCACGCGCGAGGTCAGAGGTTACCTGGTCTAAATATGGAAAGTGCTGCAATTCGGCTTAACTCGCTATTCTCCGTGCTCAGTCGGCCATAATCGTCCCACCCTCCACTTCCAACCAGCTCTCGAAAACTCACAGATCATTTGGGATGGGCAGGCAGCCATGAGGCTTGAGAAGTACGTTCTTAAACCGATAAAATAGTGTAGATAATTGATAAAGGTGTTTGAAAAGTACGTGAGTTTATTTTATGACTGGTCGTCGCTCGCGTCAATGCATCGCCCAAGTGTGAGGGGTTAGATCGAGCTCCAACAGCGCCACCATGGCGTCCGATTATCAATCCCCGTCTATTGATGAGGACAATGGACCGACTCGTGGCTTCCTGTATGATATCATTATGGTGTAGCAGATACAGGGAAGGTGTTTTAGATGAAGACAGGGCTCTATTCAGACGGATGATAGGCTTAGGCTGATAGTCACTTGTACAAAAATTAATGTTCCGAAAAAAACATTTCCTCGAACACCAGAAAACACTCGTTCTGATCTGATGCATAATGGCGAATATATAGACATACACTCACGCTCTTAATGAAACCGAGTGCAGAAGTGAATGAGTCGAAATGTGACAATAATGTTGTTGAGATTCATGATGAATGAATGTTCTCAAATGCCAGGTTTACACTGTACATGGAATTAACGCTATTCGATGGAATATGGCTTCACAGCCAAACAACGCGGAAAATTCAATAGGTATACAACTTCTTTACTGTAATGTAAACGACGTTTCGGTGTAGCTGCTAACACGATTATAAGCAAGTGATGTGTATCAGCTACACCGAATCGTCGCTTACATAATAATAAAGAATCGTACTAAAGAAGTTTTAAGGTTAAGAAGTGTTTGAAAGGTGTATCTAACCATTTTGTCACTATCATTATTATTTTGTTGAGTTTTGTACTTGGGGCTATGGGCTTTATACTGAATAAACTTTGAATATAGAAGATGTATATCCATAGAACTTTCACCGTTGTTCATCACACCACTCAAAGAAGCTAGGTTCCCAGTCAACCCAGCACTTTGCGCAGATGACCAATTCTGATCAGACATTGTTCATTGTGCTGGATAGGTTCGTAAGACCGCTAGCCGCACTATTTTCTCATATGTTCCAGCGAAGACTTTTCTGTCTCCCATTGGTAGCAGCTGAGTATAAATTACACATATCTGGATCGTCTTCCTCCATCCATCTGTGTACCTATATATTACCATGACGCCTGTCTGTGTAGTAATATACCCTCTCGCCTGTGATTGTCTTTACTATACATGTATATTTATATGTATATGATGCCCTTAGTGTCTTATAGGCTATTTGGCCTGTCACTTTTTACCGATTTACAACGTGTGTCGCCATAATAGAATAGTTTTCTTCGTCATTTGTTATATTTGGCTCAATCAAATCGGCCTGAAGACGAAGTTATGCTGGGTCCAGCATATTTAAGTACATTGTATTTTGATGAGGATTCCCCCATAGGAACATCGCTGTTGTTAGACCAGCATATAGTTCCCGAAATACGGTTAAGTATAAGGTTACAGAAGTAATTCTAAAGTAGGAACCATCGAGTATTATAGAACCCTCTAATCTCCTATTTTTCAAACCTTGGTTTGAGAATAGGATCAGTACAGGCTGATAGAGCTGAGACGGGATGTGGGTTGAGATTAGGGGGTGGGTTTTGCGGGTGGGGTGTAGAATGGAATGAGGATGGATGTTTTGTGAAATAGATACTGTAGGATCGGGATTTGTGGGAGACTATAAGGATGGATAAATTGATGTTTCTGTGAAAGCGTAATGGACCATGATGAATCTCGTCTTTCTGTCATAAGTGCACCTGCACCTACCTGAAAGACGCATGTCGTTGGCAGCACGACATGGCGTAATGTACTGTCAGTATTCAGCAGGTGCAGTGTGAAGGCATCTTCAAACTGTGCAATATGCAATCAGAATCTGAGAGATTGTTTCCACTGTCAATACCCCACAGGTTCAATATGCGAACGATATGTCACTGATTCAATATGAGATCAATATGCCACAGGTCCAATATGCGAACGGTTTGCCACAGATTCAACATGAGATCAATATGCGAACGATATGCCACGGATTCAACATGAGATCAATATGCGTTCGGTTCAATATGCGATCGATTTGCCACAGATTCAAAGTGCGATCAATATGCCATAAGCTCAATATGCAATCAAACCTAATGCTTCATAATGGTATCTCAATATGCAAAAAGCGAAATATACAAAAAGCGAAGTATGCAGTCAGTATTAAATAGATTTAGAATGTCAGAAGGGGCAACATATAT